AATAGGATTATGGGTAAAAATAAGGAAGTAAGTTTCTCATCTAAAATAGTAAGTTAACGTAATAAATTAGTAACTTTTGCTGTTGCAAAGGTAAATTGAAAGTAATATGAAACATACTTTTTAAAGAGATAAATTACAATTTTATATCTCAAATATACTTTTGAGGGAGTAAGTTTATTTTAAGTAAAAGTATGTTTTTATACATAAGTAGTGATTTTTACTTATAACATATTAAATTTGATTAATGACAAAAACATGCTAATTTATGGCAAAAATATTCTATTATGCTAAAAATAACTTATACCAAGCCCGTATTTTTTTGTGTTATTTGAAATAACACTAAAATGTATTATTAATGATTAAAACTGAGTACCTTATTTAGTAAGTACTATTAATATACTTGTATACATACTTGATCGTATGTGAATAAATAAGTATTTTTGGAATTTATAGGGAAATAAATTTTTTCTTTTGCAATTAAAAAAAAAGTAAGCGAAAATCTTTTTTCCCAGAGCACAAAAATCCACAAGTCAAAATAGTTGGTCTAAAAGGGAAAGAAACATCTGAATATCATTGTTTGAAGTACCAAATAAATTAGATATAAAATACTCGTTAAAAGCAGGTACCTTGACAAATGCTGCAAATGCCTTGGACAAAAAATGTGCGTAAATAACTAGGAGGAAAAAAACCAATTTTCCTTTGGAACTAGATTTCTATATATGTCTGGTTAAAGAAGAACACAATATGGAAAGAAAACTACAGAAATTAATGAAAAAAGGTTTAGTAGTTTAAATGAAAAAAGGTTTAGTAGTTTAATTTGGCAAAAAACCGTTTCTCAAGTTTCCAAGATGAGACACTTCTCTCTAGAACTCTTTTTCTCAAAATCTCCTTCATCTCTCCTATGGGAGAGAGATCAAATCTGGTTTTTTCCCATGGGAGGGAGCATTCTGTCTACTTTTTGTTTCACTATTTCGAATAAATTATTTTCTAAAATTTTGTAGTGAAAGACTCTTCTCTCTTAGAATTTTTCAGTGAGAGTTTCTTCTCTTTTAGATTGTTTTAGTAAAAGTTTTATTCTCTCCTTAATTTTTCTTGTCAGAGTTTTTTTTTAATCTTTTTTTGTAGGAAATTTGAGATTGTGTATATCTAGAATCTAGTTTCTCATATTTGCAATTTCTCGATTATTGTCAAATATAAATTTTTCTTTGGACTTGACCCAGTTTTAATCAGATATGACTATCAAAAGAGATGCACAAATGTATTATATTACAATGATTCATCCGGATGGGAGATATGTAGGAGCATCAATATTTCTTTACGTGTATTGATTTCTTAGAACTATTGTATCTATTGATTTTAGATCTACATATATATATATATATGTGTGTGTGTGTGTGTGTGTGTCATATTTGTTTAATGTATTTTCTACCATTAGTGCAGATTTATTGATTGAAATATTCTTTTCTATAAAAAAAAGTTTCCATGATGAGACATAATTAAGAATGTATTAATATGTAAATCTTGTTAGGTAAAAATTAAACTGTTAAATGCACTTAACCCCCCGAATGTTAATGTTAACCCTAGTTGCACTTTGGCCCATTAACTCAATAAATAGACATTTTGTCTGCGTGCTTGATTAGAAAAAGCACTCCTTCCATGTTATTTATTTTTATTTCTTTTTTCCTTCTTTCTTGCCCTTTTTCTACTTGTCCTTTTCTCAATTTTACCGAAATGTCTTATCCCGCATGAGGCCGCGGCAGAGGCCATGCCAGTCAAAGAAGTGGGATATCAAATAGAACCCACACTTTTGACAAAAAAAAAAAAAAAAAAAAGAACCCACTTAAATATGTATCATCCTTCTTTGAGATATCCTCCGCTGGCTTAGGATCAAATTAGCCAAAGTATTACTCACCATTTTTCAAATTCTCCATTACAGATCTAAAAATAGATCATTTGACAGTTTAAATCAGTAAGTCAATTGATCCTTAAATCAAGATGATTATTCTTTCATTGTTTCCAGAGAATCTGACAATTCATATATTTATTCCGAAATCCAATCTCATGTCTACTTCAACCAACCTGAAGACCTAAAAATAAAAAATCCTCTTATTATTGTAGACAAATCTATCACCTATTCAGATCAATCCCAATTTTGACTCAAAAGGAGCTTAACCGGTCAAACCACTGCATACCTATCCTGGTTTCTTTCACTCCTTTGAGCCAACATCATTTACTTACTTAATTGATAAGCCCAAAGTTGTAAAATCCACTCTTAAATCAAAAAATGATCCACCCTGGCATCCTACCATTAATGATCATGAAATTACTATTTCCTCACTCTTTATTCAATATGTTCCAACAATAAATCAGTGGGCAATATCTCCTTTTCAAATCCATAAAGTTGCTTTCCAATTTTGATGGTTAAGAGTATTATTTAATTATTATGGTATGGCAGATGCATTTTCTAATGTTTTCTTTTACAATAACAAATCTAGAAAACATATTTGGTGGATTCACCTCCAAGAAATTTTTTTTTTCCAAATCCTTCTGAAATGCCAACTTGGATTTTCAATTAGTTTAGATATTTTGGACCATTAGAAACATTCTTCCTAAATGATCTTAAATTACAATATTTACATTATCAAGAAATTCATTCAAAATATACTACAAAATTTGATGAAATTCCAAATAGTTGACTTCTGCATTTTTGAGCAAAGTTTGAAATCCCATAGCTTTTTGCCTGGTCTTTTGAAATTGGCGAAGCAATAAATGCTCTCTCTCTCTCACTTGCGGAGACTTCATTTCACAAATTATAGCCTAATTATAAATATTCCATCAACCAAATTGCTCAACACATTGCAAGGGAGGAAGTTGAAATTTCTCAATCTCAAATACCAAAAATTAACTTGTCCCTCTTGTAGGTGGGTTTTTTTCTCTCTCAAAGTGGGGAGCCTTTTTCACCTTTAGTAGGTGTTACTAGGTTTTTTCAAAGTTTCAAATTTCCCGTACTTTTTTTCAAAAAAAAAAAAAAAAACCAAAAGCAGAAAACAAAACAAATTTCAGATCCTCTGCCTGATTTTCGATGGTGAATTCAATGGAGTAATAATGCGGTATCATGATGATGTTATCTTCCTGGTTTGGAGTCCACCGTGTGAAATCTGGTTGGAGTCCCGATCGTTGGCGGTAGAAGTTATTGAGCTAAGCTTCGATCGTCTTTCGTTCTAAGTTTTGGTTCTTCTTTTTCAGTTGTCGTCGTTTCTCTGTTTTGTGCTTATTGTTTTTCTTTTCAGTCGCAGTGGTTTTTGTGTTTTCTCTGAGTTTTTTTTTTTACAATCTTAGCCCAGGCTCTTTCATCTGTTACAGATCTGTGTGTGGTTCCATTTTCCGTTCATATATTCTAGTTTATTGGTTTCGTTTTGTCTTTTTCATTTGGTTTAGCTTCGATCCTGAATTTTTCTGTCATAGTGTTTCTGGTTTCTGTTTTTTGGACAGGCTACTGGTGTTTGAATTTCTTTGTGTCTGTGGTGACTGGGGAATAGCTTTGGTTTGATCAAAATGACTGAGGAACTGGAAGAAGTGCTGAGGAAATTTGTTCTGACTGAAGCTGAGGTTGACGGTGTTGAATTGGATGGATCGGATGTGGTTCATGGAGTGGCTGAATGTAAGTTGAGTATTATTGGTAAAGTGATAGGGGAGAAATATGCAAATATTTCAGGTATTAAGAGTTTTGCGAATAATATGTGGCCTTTTGCGAGGAAGTTAAAAGTAGTGGAGATTGGGGTAAATCTGTTTCAGTTTATCTTCATTAATAGACAGGACATGGAGCGAGTGATGCGGGGAAGACCGTGGATATATGATAATTTGCCTTTAGTGGTGCTACCATGGGAAGAGGGATTAGAACGTAGGGATGAAGCCTTTAATAAGACTTGGATTTGGATCCAGTTATGGAATTTACCTATCCACTGGATTACGAAGGAAATTGGAAGGAAGATTGGAGGGGTCTTTAGCTCTGTTAAGGAAGTTATAATTCCAAATGGAGGTGGTAAGGAGGGGAAACATTTAAAAATCCTGGTGGAGATGGATTTATCAAGGCCTCTTCTGAGGGGTACTACAGTGAAGTGGGAGGGAAGTGCGAGATGGATTGAATTTAGATATGAGAAATGTCCTGAGTTTTGCTATTGCTGTGGGATAATGGGGCATAGTGAGAGAAATTGCAGTTTGAAGGTTGTTAATAGTGGTAAGGAAGCTCAGTATGGTGCTTGGTTAAAGGCCAGTACTGCAAGAAATCCAAACAAAAGACAGGATGTTCCATGTACTCCGGAAGGGGATGGGGGTGAGGATGTTTCTCTAAACAGGGGGTGGGGAGAAAAGGAAAAGGACCAATTCCTACTTCCTTGGAAGTTGGTAGAGGTTAGTGTAGATACATCTGTTCAGGAGATTGCGAAGGAGGAGGTTCAGGACAGGAAAAAAGGGACTTTTATGGAAGGTGCTAAGAGGGAGACTCCTCTGAATGTTGTTTGTAATAAGGAGGGAAATGATCTGGGGGGAAGCAGCAATGTTAATCTAGAATCAAGCATAGGAATTACAGGTAAGATACAGAATGAGTGTCAGAGGAAGGTTGTGAATGACAAAGGTTTGGATGACTCTATGTGGATTGATGGATCAATTATAGACAACAAGGTGTGTGAGAGTAAGGGGAAGGGGTCAGTTCCTGAAGATAAAAAACTGGATCAAACTACTTGCTTAGGGAGGGGAGCTGGTAAGAACAAGGGAAATAAAGGATGGAAGAGACTAGTTCGTGAGGTGGGCAATCGAGCAATTCTGAGAAACAAAAATGAGGTAATGGAAGTGGATAATGAGGGGGGCAAAAGAAAGTTATGTGGGGCAATGGGTAAAGAGAATGAATGCAACAAAAAATATAAGATAGAAGATACTGGAGTAGGGATGGAATTATCTACTGAGGTGGTGGAGTCCTACCTTAATGGGGCTCCCAAAGGCCAATGAGAGCTCTGGTGTGGAACTGTCGAGGTGTTGGGAGCCCCTTGACAGTTCCCCAGTTTAAGGAGAGTGTCAAACTCCACTCCCCAGAGTTGATTTTCTTGTCTGAAACAAAAAACAGGAAGGATGTTATGAATAAAGTACGACTACAGTTAAGGTATGATAGGTTGTTTGTGGTTGATCCAATTGGGAGGGCTGGTGGACTAGCAGTTTTGTGGAGGAATGAGTTGCAAATCTGTAAGGTACTATGTACTGATTTTACTATTGAATTGCTAATGGAAAGGACTGGGGCTAGGGATAGATGGTGGCTGATATGTGTTTATGCTAGTAGTGAGGACCAGATTAGGGAAAAGCAGTGGAAGGTTATAGAGGGTAGGAAAAGTTTATGGGGCCAGAATTGGGTATTGGCGGGGGATATGAATGACATTTTATCTAATGATGAGAAATGGGGGGGGCTGTAGAAGGCCAGAAAGGAGTTTTCATACGTTCAGGGATTTTGTAAACAAAAATCAGCTTATTGACATTGGCTTTGAAGGAATTCCATGGACTTGGTCAAACAATTGGGAAGAGGGGAAGGAAATAAAGGAAAGATTGGACAGAGTACTATGTAGTAGACAATGGAGAAGGGAATTTGAGAAGGCCAAATGTTTACATATCCAGAATGAGGCCTCTGATCATGCTATGATGCTTTTAGATACTGATTCATGTGGGAGGAAGTGGAAAAGAAGGTTCTTTTTTGATAGAAACTGGTTAAAACATAAAGAGGTAGGTGAACTCATTAGTAGAGAATGGGGAAGGCAACAAGATGGTTCTAGATGTTTCAAGTTACACCAAAAGATAAAGAGCTGTAGGTTTGCTCTTTTGAACTGGAACAGGCAGAGGAACAATAATGCTAAGAATGAAATAAGGGAGTTGAGGCAGAAACTTGCAGAGGTTCAGAGTGATTGGCATGCAAATAGGATTGGAAAGGTCAGGGAGCTCAAGAAGAGATTGGAAGAGGCTTATAAGAGAGAGGAGGTGTTTTGGGGGCAGAAAGCAAGAATTAAATGGTTGCAGGAGGGGGATAAAAATACGAAATTTTTTCATGCAAGTGTTGCAGAAAGAAGGAGAAGGAACAATATTTCATGCTTAAAAAAGGGTGATGGTACTTGGTGTGATTCAGAGCAAGAAGTTGCAACTGAGATTCAGGGGTTTTTTCAGGAGTTGTTCACTTCCAGTAATCCTCAGCAGATTGAATCAACACTGAGGGATATTCCTCTAGTTATCACAGACCAAATGAATGAAATGCTGGTTAGACCTGTATCAGAATTGGAAGTCAGAAATGCTGTTTTTTCCCTACAACCAAACAAAGCACCAGGGCCTGATGGTATGACTTCTGCTTTCTTTCAACATTATTGGAATGTGATTAAAGCTGACTTGCTCAATGCTATTTCTAGCTTTTTTCACTCTGGCCAGTTATTAAAGGCTATTAATGAAACTATCATCACTCTTATTCCTAAGGTCGATTCCCCAGTTCTGGTGTCTCAGTTTAGACCAATCAGTCTGTGTAATGTTGTCTATAGGATTATATCTAAAATTCTGGTCCTCAGATTAAAACCTGTTCTCAATTGTTGTATCAGCCAAAACCAATCTGCTTTTGTCCCAGGAAGACAAATCATTGATAATGTTGTTATTGCTCATGAATTTATTCATTGCTTAAATAACAGAAGGTTTGGTACAAATACTTTTATGGCTTTGAAGCTTGATATGTCCAAAGCTTATGATAGAGTTGAGTGGCTTTTTGTGCTTAAAATAATGGAAAAGATGGGTTTCTGTCAAAAATGGAGGGACTGGATTTTTAAGTGTATGTCATCTGTAGTATACTCTTTTAACTTGAATGGGGAAAAAAGGGGGATAGTAATACCTACAAGGGGGATTAGGCAGGGAGATCCTCTATCTCCATATATTTTCTTGCTTGTCTCTGAGGGATTATCCAGGTTACTCAGCAGTGCTATGGTCAGGCAGGAAATTTCTGGTCTTAAGATTGCCAAGCATAGCCCGGCACTGTCTCATCTCTCTTTTGCAGATGATACGTTGATTTTCTGTAAAGCTAACAAAGAGGAAGCTGCAAAGGTGATGAAGCTGTTGGAGCTGTATGGGAAGGCTTCTGGACAAATTATAAATGCTGAAAAGTCTTCTGTCTTTTTTAGTAAGAACACAAAGGAAGGGGAAAAGGCAGAAATTTTGGATACTTTGGGAGGCATGAGGGAAGCTAAGCAGAGCAAATATCTGGGCCTACCACTGGTTATAGGAAGACCAAAAAAACAAGTGTTCAGCTACATTAAGGAAAGGGTCATTAGAAGATTGGGAGGATGGAAGGAAAGGTTGTTGAGCAATGCAGGTAAGGAAGTTCTTTTAAAATCTGTGATTTTAGCTTTACCAGCTTATGCCATGAATTGTTGCAAATTGCCAAAAGGTTTATGTGTGGACATTTGTAAAGAAATGGCAAAATTTTGGTGGGGGGATAGGGATGATATTAGGAAAATTCATTGGATGGAGTGGGGGAAGTTATCTGAGGTTAAAGGGAGGGGGGGTTTGGGTTTTAGAGATTTGCAGCAATTCAATACAGCAATGCTTGCAAAGCAATTATGGAGGATTTTGACAAGGCCAAATCTGTTAGTCAGTAGGATTGTTAGGGGGAAGTATGTTAGAGGATCCTCCTTTTGGGAAGTGAATATCAATGCTGGGGATTCTTGGGTTTGGAAAAGCTTTCTCAGTGCTAGGGAGTTGCTGGAAGAAGGGGTGAGGTTGAGAGTTGGGGATGGCAAGCAGATTGATATTTGGGAGGATAAGTGGCTGTTAGATCAGGAGTATGGGAAAATCAGATCATGTAAACCTCAACCGTGTCATATACAAAGAGTGCATGAGTTGATATCTGATGGGAATTGGAATGTGGATATGATTAGAGAAGTTTTTGAGAAGGAGGATTGTCAAAGAATACTTGATATTCCAATTAGTAAGTGTGGTGGTAAGGACAGGCTAGTATGGAGTTTTTCTAATTCAGGGGAGTACACTGTGAAGACTGGCTATGCAGTGGCTAAAGACTTGCAGTGGAAAAAAAAGGGGGTGTGCCAGCAACAGGGGAGTAGTAGTAGGAATGAATTTAAGTCAGGGGTGTGGAAATTGCTATGGGGTTTGAACGTTAAACATAAGCTGAAACACTTTGTGTGGAAATGCCTGCAGCGAATTTTGCCAGTAAATGAAACAGTTAGGAGAAAGACTGGACAAGGAGATGATAGGTGTTGTTGCTGTGGAGAAAGGACAGAAACTCTTGAGCATATGTTCTTTTTCTGTAAGCATGCGGAACTGATTTGGAAGTTTGCTCCAATTATTTGGGAGGGGTTGAATGAATACAGATATAGTTTTTGGCATTGGTGGGGTAGTCTGATGGAAGCACAGGTTAGAAAGGAGGGAAGGGAACACATTGAGCTGACCATTAATGTGCTTTGGCAGATTTGGAAGTCCAGGAATTTGATTCAATTTAATAGGGAAGGGAGATGTCCAGGCTTGACAAGTAATAAGGCTGTTCAGGAATGGTTAGAATTCCAGAATGTTTCCATAGTAAAGATGGAGGATGACGAAAAGGGTAGGGGAATTGAAAGAGGACCTGTGAAATGGGAGCCACCTCCAGAAAATGTTATATGTTTAAATACTGATGCAGCTATCAAACAAATTGGTGCAAAGGCCAGTTGGGGAGTTGTGGCTAGATGCATGGAAGGGAAGTTAAGAGGAGCTTGGGCTGGGTGTGAAGACAGGAGGGGCATTCCAATTGTTGAGGAGGCAAGAGCTGTTCGGCATGCGCTTGTCTTGGCCAAGCAGAATGGGTGGAGAAACATTATTATTCAAACTGATTGCAAGAGAATTGTGGATCAGATTAGAGACGGAAAGTTGAATGACCATTTAGCAGGTGCTGTCCTTTTTGATATTATGGCACTCAGCAAGGACTTTAGTTCTTGCCTGTTTTCGTTTGTCAAAAGAGAAGGGAATAATGTTTCCCATCAATTGGCAAAGTTTGCCTTAAAATTAGTTTCTGAGATTGCTTGGAAGGAGTCTTTTCCAAGTTGGCTGAGTAGTATAGCCAAAATGGATGTAGGGGCCTTTGCTCTAAACCTTGGTTCTTCTGTTTTCAAGTAATGCAATTGTTATCGTTTGGAAAAAAAAAAAAAAACCAAAAATTCCTTGCCCCACGGATGTGAAGAAAACTCTTCAATAGATCCAAGGATAGGAAGGAAAATATGAAAACAAGTCAAAAAAAGAAGTGATAAAAATGATTGCACAACAACTTTATGATGCTTTCTTTGAGGAAAAGAAAATGACGAAACCAAAAGCTTGATGAACAAATTTCGTGAAGATTTGGCCAAAATAAATTCCACCACACAAATACAACAGTTAAAGGAATGGCTGGACAAATTAGAAGAATCTTCCATCAGCTCGAAGAAAAAATTGAGAAAATTATTTTCTTTTGAAGAAGTATCTACACATGAAGATATGGAAGAATCCAAATCAGAAAACTCAAAATCAAAGTCGAGACCTACAGGAATTATGCTTAGGAGATCCACATGGAAGAAAAAAGGACGACTCAAGTAGAGGAATGCCGGGTTGGTGAGAAAATGAAGAACAAATTGGAATACAGGTGGCTGACTATTATAGGGAGCTGCTCACAACCAGCCATCCATCAGAGTATGGGGAGATCTTAGGAGGAATCCAAAGGAAAATAACAGACCAGATGAATAGGTCCCTAATCAGAAATGTCACCGAAGCTGAAATCAGAAAGGCGCTCTTCTCCATGCATCCTCAAAAGGCCCTGGGCCGGATGGCATGTCACCTTTATTTTTTCAAAAATTTTGGAATATTGTTAAAAGAGAGGTGATTGATTTGGTAAGACAGTTTTTTAATCAAAACTTTTTGCCCAAAGCTACAAATTAAACTCTGATCACCCTTATTCCAAAAAATGATGCCCCCATTAACCTGAACCATTTTAGACCTATTAGTTTATGTGACGTGGTATACAAAATCATTGCAAAAATCCTTGTCAATAGGATGAAACCTCTTCTTCCAAATTGCATCAATCCTGCCCAATCTGCCTTTATTCATGGTAGGCAAATTATAGATAACATCATCCTGGTTCATGAAAGCATTCATCATCTTAACAAAAAGAGGCGAGGTAAAGATGGCTACATGGCACTAAAATTAGACATGTCAAAAGCCTATGATAGAGTGGAATGGAATTTTATTGCTGCAGTGATGGCTAAACTGGGGTTCTGCCCAATTTGGATTAAATGGATCGTCACTTGTATCAATTCAGTTTCCTTTTCTTTCAATATCAATGGTGACAAAAAAGGCTATGTTGTTCCTTCTAGAGGCATTAGACAAGGGACCCCCTGTCCCCTTATCTTTGTATTATTTGTGCTGAAGGTTTCTCTAGTCTTTTTAACAAAGCCATGGAAAACAAAAGAATCTCAGGCCTGAAGCTGGCCAGGAACTGTCCAAGTCTGTCACATCTTTTGTTTGCTGATGATTCCTTGATCTTTTGTAAAGCAACTGTAGGTGAGATAAAGGAAATAAGAAGGATCCTGGAAGTCTATCAAAACGCCTCTGGACAACAAATCAACTTGGAGAAATCAACGGCCCTCTTCAGCAAGAACACAGATAGACAAGAATCAAAGACATAATGAAGGAGCTGGAGGGAATCAAAGTAGTTGCTCAGGGAAAATACCTGGGACTTCCTCTTGTTATAGGTCGATCCAAAAATCAAATTATGGGTTTCATCAGGGAAAGTGTCAAAAAGAAAATTCAAGGTTGGGAAGGAAGATGGCTAAGCCAAGCAGGAAAAGAAGTCCTACTAAAGTCAGTGGCAATGGCCATGCCAGCTTATGCTATGTCAGTCTTCAAACTGCCAAAGGGCTTATGCAAGGAGTTAAATTCCATCATGGCAAACTACTAGTGGGGTAGTGAAAGCAACAAGAGCAAAATCCATTGGATGAGCTGGAACAAGTTGACGGAAATAAAGGAAAGGGGAGGATTGGGGTTTAGGGATCTTGAGGATTTCAACACGGCTTTACTAGCAAAGCAAGTTTGGAAATTCATCACAAAACCAAATTTGCTTGTTAGTAAGATCATGAAGGCAAAATATTTTCCAAATTCTTCTGTCTTACAGGCTACAAAGTCAGCAGGGAATTCATGGATTTGGCAAAGTATCCATAGCTCTATAGGCCTCATAAAAGAAGGAAGTAGAAAGAATGTGGGAACCGGAGAATCAATCAACATTTGGGATGATAGATGGGTTTCAAATTTGCCAGGAGTAAAAATACAATCTGTCAAACCTACCAACTGTGACATCATCAGGGTGAAGCAGCTAATCAAAGGACAACAGTGGGACCCAGGTATCATAAATAAGTTATTTTCTGAAGAAGAGAGTGCAGCCATCCAAAGCATCCCCTTGAGCCTTTATGAAGGAAGAGACAGATTGAGATGGAATTTCACAAGATCAGGGATTTACTCAGTCAAGACAGGCTACTCTCTTTTAAAGGAAATGGCTAAAACCCATATGTCAAGCAAGTCTGTAAATGGTGGACAAAGCACAGAGCCAAGTAAAGGAATGATCTGGAAAAGACTTTGGGGACTTAACTTGAAGCATAAGATTAAACACTTCATCTGGAAGTGTCTCAATCAGACCCTTCCAACAAATGAGGCAATTGCCACACGGATAGGGAAGTGATGCAAGATTTGTAGAAGATGTGGAGAAGAAATAGAAACAATTGAGCACCTCTTCTTTTTTTGCAGAAATATTCAAGATAGTTGGAAACTATTCCCAATTCAGTGGAAAGGATGTGTAGAGTACCAGTGGAATTTTGGAAGATGGTGGGGCAAATTACAAGAGGCTGCATATAGGAACCAGGGATCAGATCATATTGCCTTGACTGCAAATTTTCTGTGGCACTTACGGAAAAGCAGAAATGAAGTCTGTTTCAATTCAAAATTTCAAGAAAGCCATCTGCTAGTCACCAGAGCCCAACAAGAATGGCTTGAATATGAAGAGATAGGGAAACAAGAAATAAGAGAAATCTTGGACTCAAGCCACGAAAGTTTGACCAGGCTACCCACGGAGAAAGTCCCAGGTGCAATGTGTGTGGCCACCTGTGGAGTTGTAGACAGAATTAAGAAAAAAGCATAAATAGGAATAGTGGTCAGAGATAACAGTGGGAAGTTAACAGCAACAAGGGCGATGCCATTGACTTTCAGTGGAGATAGGATCCTAACAGAAGCTCTGGCGATTCTTACAAGTATGATATTTGCAATGGAGAAACAGTGGGCTTCCCTAGAGATCCAATCCGGATGTAAAGCTTTGATAGATAGACTAAATGACGAAGCTGAAGAGGAATCCCAACTAGCAGTAATCATCAGAGATATAAAGCAACTTCAAGCATCTTTTTGGAAGTGTCTTTTCTCTTTAGTTATTCAGCAAAAAGACAGAGTTAGTTTTATACTTGCAAAATTTGCAACCAAACTGATACATGATGTTAAGTGGGAAAGAACCTTCCCCCTGTGGCTCAAACGAGCATCACAGCTATGATGGAGCAGTTGCTCCTTTTTGTACACTGCTGTAGAGGCACTATTTTATTTAATACAAAAGTAAGTGACATTGTGACAAAAAAAAAAACAAGTAGTGGAATGCCGGTCACAGCTGCTTAAATTAGCTAGCTAGAAAGTTGACGTATACTATGATAGAATTCTGAGAAAAGGATAAATGACTCATCTATTATTTTGAAAAATATCCGCATAATCGCAAGATGACTCAGCACCATTATTCGGAAGAAATCAGCTGCTCAAATTATGATCATCTAAAGAAGACAACCGGAGGTCATTCCAAAGAAGAAATGAAATGAAAAGGAAACAAAGTATTGAACTGCAATGGCCCACTCCAATTAATGTAAAAATCATGACAATTGTTCAGGCAGTATCCAAATGGTCTTATAAAAGGGCATTCATTTGATAAAACAAATTCAAGCCTAGTAGTTCAAGTCTGGTAGTCCTTAGTTTAAGCAAAAAAATTTCCTCTGTAGTCTCTTAGAAAATCTTGAAATCATCTCTTTTTTATATCACCCTCTTGTACAAATATTATCAATAAGAATTGAAGTTTTGAAGAATTAAGACTTGTGCTGAAATTCTACAAGTAAGCTTCTGCTCCCTTTCACTAGTTTTCTTATGATATTTTATCTCCTAGGCATAGTTGGTATCAGAGCTATGGTAGGCTAAAACTGTTGTGGGAAGGTTAGTTTTGTTCTTATGCAAATAATAAGACGGTGGTATGAAAAAAGTAGTCTATATCATGGATCAAACATAGGACTTGTGTGCAGCAATACGACTGTGATCTCCTGAACTGTGTGACCAAGATGACTGTGGTATCATGAGCTCATTTCATCGGAAATGATGATATATTTATGTTAGTCAATGGCCTGGTATAGTTTGGATTAGGGTCTTGAGAGGTTATTTTGTTGTTGTTAAGACCGTTATATCTGCCTTGGACCCCTGTAACATCCTCGACCTTCCACTATTGCATATCTCGCTCTTATGAATATAAGTCCAAAGGATTCATGTGCTTAATACACTCGGGGAGGCATTGAGATAATGTGCTCAATATGCTCATAGAGGCATTTGTGTTTGTCCAAGATATAGAGTAATTATTCTTCAAATCGTTTGATCAACACGTTTGTACAAGGAGCAAGAATTTATTTTCTATTATGAGAATATTTGAATAGGGTTAACCACTCCTGCACTGGCTACAGATTTGCTCAACTTTTTTGTCTAAAAAATTGCCTATAAACTTGTTTGTTAAAATATTGCCAAATTTATTATCTTTTGCATCTTCATCAATATCTTCTAAATCTATTCAAAAGAAAAATATGTTTACTAAAGAAGGAAATTTGCCAAATTCATTCCTAACATTTGCCAAAAAAATTATTTTAGTCCCTATCATTTAAAATCAGTCAGAATTGTCTCTAACATTTAAATTATAATCCATTTTTGTCCTAATGCTCGTATTTATTCATTTCTCCGACTGAAAATAGCACGCATTTCTCACGTGGACATATTTTCAAGGGCAAAACCGAAAAATGCACTTCATTTCCAGTTGA